CGTATTGAGCAGTTGACAGTTAACGTGAAATAAGATGATTGGATAAAGCCAGATATTAATTAATTGAATTTTGATCCAGTTAAGGGAAATAAATGATCGGATTGTTGATCGTAAGTAGTTCTTAGCGAAATAGGTCTCTCTTTTTGGGATCAAAATTTAAAGCCTAACCTTTTTTTTCTTAATTTTTGCATTAACCATAAAACGTTAACACGAACGCATCCAGAGCGATGCTAGAGCATGTATTATTTCAAACTGACTTTATTCAAGATGATTGATGGGGGTGCACGTTTCCGATTCGTTCTTTGACACATTCACACACTTTTGACTACATGCTACTCTCTCTCCAAGTCAATCTAATTGTTTTCATTATGAAAATTTGGGATATTGTAAATTTTTAGTACCCATAGCAGAGGCGAAAATGTCTCGTGGGGTTCATTTGTAAATCGAGTTGAAGGGTTTTGTTGGTAGACATCTTCCTCAGCCAAGCGGTTTTGGTCTTAGAGTGGGAGTCGACGCTAAGCTATCATAACGCCGAGTAAATATATCTTTTTCCATCGTTAGAAATCTCGTCGTTTCTCACTGTTTTCCCGTGGGAATCTCTTCCCTGGAAACAGCGAAAATGCTGGATCAGATGGCCACTTATCCTCTACCGCAATTGCCAATAGTCGGTTAATCTCCGCGCCATCAGATTTTCAACATGTGGCGCATCAGGGGCCTGACGTTCGCATCCACTTGATTGATCTAGCGCAGTCGAAGAGAGCAGCCCGATATTCGACTGGCAATTTCTCATTAGCTGTTGAAAATCAATCGCAGGCACACCTGCAGAAGCAGGGCTTTCAGCAGACGCAAAGTCATAACCAACAGCAACAGCTAAATAGAACCCAACATCGGGACTCTCAGGCGTCTCTTCACTCCACTGGCTCGTCTAGACAGTCGACCGATCAGGTTTGTGCTACGTCATGTCTCTCTTCCTTCCTTCCTTCCTTCCATCCCTTAACTTATTTATTTCCATTAACCCTGGACGATGTTTGGGCAGTGGGCGATGTTCCACTTAAGTGGCGGTTGGTATTAGTCACTCTAATTTAAAAGAATAGGCGTATTTCCGTCGCAACAAAAGCAAGTTTTAAGCAAGTGGTCGACTTTAACTGCGAAATAAAACCCATTCTATGCACACACACACACACACCCAGAAAGTGTGAGCTACTTTCTCGTTTAATGTAACTTTGCATTCTCAAGACCATAGAAAAGCGAATTGTGGAATTCCAAGTTTAATGGGTATAATGCATCGGGATTTATTTATGAAGGATCCGAAAAGAGCATTTGCCTGAATATTTTGATGACAGTTGAAAGTCATCCGGTCTCGAAATAACCGCAGTAGATATTGCTAGAGGTTCAAGAAGTGTGAGGCATTTTTTGGTGCCTTAAAGACACTTGAGTATTAGGAAGCACCTTGGCGAGAATGTTACAATTGGTCGTTTACCCCTATTAAGCGATTAACGGAGATTTTGACACTCACCGAAATGCATCAGCATTAAAATTAACTCGAACTTACACTCCTACTCTTTTTCTTCTGTAGGGTTAATTCGGTAAGTTGCTTGTTTCTTCTTTTTTCCCCCCTAAAAAAATTAAAACAATTCATAATTTCAACAACCTTTTTTGTCTTTTCGATTACACTGAAAGTCCTTACTCCTCCACAGAAAAAAACGTGTTTTTTTTAATTGAATATTCTTGAAAATTTCATTCACAACTTTGAAATAACCCCCCCCCCCACCCACCCTGTTTTTCGTACTCCTCCATCTAGTTCTTTCTAGGTCGATAATCTCCTGTGACACGTTAAAAGCAAGCATACTAATTAAAAGATTAGCAAAGTCGTATTATTTATTACTTAAAAATTTATTTATTTCAAATGGCAGGCGTTATGATGGATATCATTAGCCCTGTGGTTGACTTCGGGCTTCACAGAAAGGAAGATGAGCATCCAAGTGGTAAAAAGTCGAGAGGGGGACAGAATAATGATTCACAGGCGTAAAAGAGACAGACAGACACAAAGGTAGAAAAAAGGTGAGGTGAATACTGTGGAATTATTCGAATATGAAATGTAATGGGGTCATGGTAGTTTGAAGTCAGAAGTCAACTGTCGGTTAATAGACTTTTTTGCCGTACGAGTATACGTTACCCAGGGTGCACCACGAGGAGGTAAGCCTATCGCACACCCCTATTACTAAAAAAAATAGAGGAAAGCCTCTCAAGAAATAGTCTAGTATCTGAATTGAATACGCCAACAATATTTCCACTCCCTGTATGATAATCACACTATTGAGCCTGGTGTAGATGGATCCAGATTTACTCTTACCTGATTAAATGTTATCTAGGATACTTGTAGTCAGAAACGATTTGATTGGTTTAATTTTGAATATGGCAGCAACTGTTAGAGAAGATTAAGAAATTTCACGAGTTTTCTTAATTTAGGTAATTTTTGATGCTACTCATTTTCGTCTCGTTAGTGTTTGCCACACACACACTTACACGCATACAACCCCTTGTAGTGTTGTTAATCTTTTAAACCTCTTATTCTGGTATGGTTTCAACACGAATCCGGCCACTACTCTCCTTCTGCATGATTGACTATACTTCTGAAACCAACAACAACAACTACTACTAATGACGGTTGGCTCTTGGGAGCATGTCTATATTAAGAGTGCTTGATCATTTTCCACATACTATACTCTAATTCCTTTCTTTATTATATGTCAAGTCCTTAGGTGAACCTGATTACCCCGCCGACCCTATGACCTTGACCTTGCCAGTGATTTCGGCCTCCAATCCAAACCTTCTCGCATCGCCTGTAGGATCACCAATTGCGGAGGAAGCTATTACCCCGTCAGCAGTTGAAAATGAAACCAATTATCACCCTCGCCAACCACCACCACCACCGCCCTCTTCCCTCTCAATGCACACAATTGAACGAAAAGTGCTCGCACCGTCACTTGATTCTCCAGGATTCCGTGATAAAGTTCTCGCCCTCTTCCACACAGTAAGTTTCAAAATGAAATTTTTTGTGACGTAATCGCATGTGGGCTACTGTCACACAGGCCTTTGCAACCTGTTTAATCGTCCTTACTTACTTGTTCGGATATCGGAGGTGGGAAAAGAAGGTGGTTTCCTTGGTCAGCCTTAGTAGTCCACACCAGGTCCTTGTTACCGTGAATTAAAATTTATTCTATTGTAATTGATTTGCGATTTACCAGAGAAGATTGAACTAATCGTTGATAGGTATTGAATTTCCATATTGGCTATGACAGAATATGAACAATCAGACAACACACCCAAAGAATTAATGGTGGCTAACTTCACCATGCCATGACCTGTTATGGCTTCGACACTACACTTTAAGTGGAGAGTGGCACGATGTATCGACGTATTATCAAATCTGATGCACATCTTTCACTTTGATGGAGACGCGAGTTTAGGCTTCAACTTTGCAAACCCAGAAACGTTGCGTGGATGTAGTGCTTTATTCGGTGTATGAATCGAATAGTATATAAGCAAGGATTCTCAGATTAAAAGTCCTCATTGAATGGTTTCATCGATTACTTATCATTTTGAACATAATCAGAATAATAATAATCTAGTGATCAATTAAAACCCTTTAAGGTTGTGAAATTTGAATAAGAATATATATATATATATATATATATATATATATATATATGTGTGTGTGTGTGTGTGTGTGTGTGTGTGTGTGTGTGTATATATATATATATAGGTTTTACTTTATCATTAGGACCGAAATCGGTTAAGCCGGTTAATTTAACGTGTGTACTGTGTTAAAATATCCAATTTTTACAGATGTATCGATTTCCCATTAAAAGTAGTAGATGTGTATTAATGAGATTTGATTTTGACTTAACTTGCTCAAAAAAATCTTGCTACTATTCAAACAAATTTTTGTTTACAGTTGGACAGCGACGTACTACCTTCTCTGAACAGCCCTTCAACCCCAACTGAAGCAGCACCTCCGAAACCCACGACTTAGTTGCTATCCATGCCTTTTCTCCTCTCTGTCTCTCTCTGTACATTCGTAACTTCCATCACCCCATCTAAACAACCTCGCGCCCAGCACACGTACACAGACACTTTCCATCTTCTCATTAATAGCATCGGTAGAGTTTGCACCCTTTTACCACTCTTCTTTACTTCTCAACTACAACGGCCTACCATCAACTCAGTGGTCAGGCCCCTTCGAACATTATCTAAATTCGTCTGTTTTTATTTGAATATGCTATCGACACATCTCCCCCCCCCCCTCCCAATATGTTCCTTCTACCCACCTTCTTACTGGTCTAGGGTAATTTTTGTCATATGCAAGAAAAGATTCGACCTTGTTTCCAATTTATTGCCTTTTTGTGTCTTTGTTTGATTGTGTTTACTACCCTGGAGCAAAGCATAGTAGAAGGACATCGATTTTAAATTTTACAGCTGAAATTTCTATCAATACCTTTGGGGTACTGCCAATTTTTAAATAGGAGCTATGATCGAAATTTGTTGCATACATATAAGTCCATATAATTAGTTAAGGTAGCAAGAAAGCGGACAAGTAAACCTCATATTCTTGAACTTACTAAGTAGTTCATAACATTGTTATGTGTCCCATGAAATGTAACTGAAAGTGTGGGGTTGAACGGTAACTGCTACAACAGATGAGATATAAAATTTCCTAAAGTATAGCTAAAGGGGGGAAACAATACCAGTGGCTTAGGGTATATTAATCAAATTTCGAGTGTTATAAATGCTATATTTCAATAAATGGATTTAGATATGAAAGAGATTTTGAAAATGCCTAATATTTATGGGATAACTATTTTTTCAAAAAATTCAAAAACATCTACTCAAATAATATATTAAAATCAATACATGATTTAAAATAATATTAGAAAAAAATATTTGTGTTTTATTTATGGAAAATTTTTGTATATATGATATTATAATTAACTTATAAAATGCGTTTATTGGATCCATTATTTCTTTTGAGGTCACAGAACCCTTCAGTTGCTCGACGCTTATTTTTAGAGCTTATATTAAAAGGTCCTGGAATAATGTCCACGGAATCAGCCACGAAGTTATTGCTAAAATCAACTACTGCTAAACTAGATGAAGTAAAATCAAAGCTGAATTTATTGGGTAAAATTTTAAGAGTTTCCGAATTGGTTTAAGAGGGGGACAGAAAGGCCTACTACGAAAGTGCTTTACAGGCATTAACAGACGGTAAAAGAAAAATTATTGAATTGAGATTAGAAAATGCCTCATTACGAAATACTTTACGAGAAAAGATGGCGGTTAAGTTCAACATAATTTTTATTTACATTGTTAGACTGATGAGCATATCATCAACGAGGTTTTTCAATCTAAACCAGAGGAAAGGGCTTTGTTCAGCAATAAGACCAGTAATGTATGTTTTACCACAAAGTTATATTGTATTAACGTGTAATAATGTTAAATATATTAAATATGAGTTACGTTAAAATTGTATTTGTTTTTTAAAGGAAGCTCTTACAACCATGGACTATCACACATGTGACGCAATGAAAAAACTCAATGCTTTAAAGCACCAGACAAATAAGAAAATTGAGAATCTCAATGAACTAAAGCGAAAATATTGCGAAACTTATGATGCTAAAGTGAAGTTGGATAATTACATGGATGCAGGTGAACTGGGAAGTGAACTGAGAGCTCTAGATAACAGACTTGATAAAGCTAAGTTAAAATGCGAGGAAGCTGATCATATTTACCGAGCATATAAAGAAATTAAAAACAAATTAGCGGAAGAACAGCTCACTTTCCCCGCTTGTTTAGAAAACCTGGAGAATCAAATTAAGGAATCTAAAAAGGAACTAGACAAGATTCTAAAAATGCATAATGACGCCTTGTTGGCACAAGAGTCAGCAAAGCAGGAATTGAGATACAGGGAAGAACTTAACAAAAGCGAACGAAAACGTCGAGAAAATGAATTATCCGGTTTGAAACAGGTGGCTGAAACTTTGCGTAAGGAAGTTGATTTCAGCGAAAAGAAACGGGTATATTCATCAATCACTCTCTAAAATAATTGCTAATTTTACCATCAAAATTTATTAATATTTGGCTTATTTAGATGACAGCACTTTCTACAGAAGAAAAACATAGTTTTGTTGAAGTAGCTGAAGTTGGTCCCAAGGAGGAACAATTGCAGAAACTTAAACATTACGAAGAGATGTATCGACAAATTCGTGATGTTACGGGGGTTAAACATGTCACCAAAATGGTTAGTCGTTTCGAATCTCAAATTGAAACGATGAAAAATTTAATCAATCTCAAAGACGAAGGAGAAAGCATCGTAGCTGGGTTGGAAGCGGAGTTAAAGGATTTAAAATCTGAATTAGATGAATTAAAATACACTGGTGAAGCTGACATAGAAAAGTAAGTAAACAAGTCGTATCATACCGCTCTATTAATTAAATATAAGTAGTAATTAACTTTTAGTAAACGGAAGTTAGTGGAAGAATACAAAGCCAATTTGAACGAGGTGACTGCCAAAAGAGATGCCTTACAGCAACAATTGAATGATTTGATTAGTCTATTAGTCCGTTGCAAGGCTGGAATGGTGCACATATGCGATAAGTTGGAGGACATAGCAGTGAGTGTTTCTGAGCCTCGGAATTCAGATAGTGCTGTCGAACAGTCAACTATGCAAACGGAAGCTTCGCTATCGAGCAAGGAGAAATCAAGCCAGGATTCTGATAAATCAGACCAATTTATCAGTCTTATAAATCTTTGCTCACAGAAAGTTAAAGCATTAATAGAGTCATTAAAGGATTATGACTATGAAGAAGAGATTTCCAAAGTCAATCTTTCTGAGGCAAGTCTATTTCACCTCTCTCGAGTTTAATGGAATATTATGAGGGTTCTATGTCCATACCATTGGTTGTTGTTTGTTCACAAAAGTAACTATCGATTGTGATTTCCAGAAACAAACATTACTCTCTCCTGCTGAGGTAAGCGTTGCTTTCGTGACTTGGTTTAGTTTACCGTATTTTTCCTACTTAAATCACTTAAGTACACTTTGTGATGTCTAAATTTTTTTCCTCATAAGTTTTTAATCAACTTTTTAACAGTTCTACCAGTCGACCAAGACCAAAATCCCAGAATTCAATTTGAGAGTCAATACCTCAGATGTTGAAACGAATGCAACTGAAGGTAAGTCACTTTATATTCATCTGAAGTTAATGGATGCATAATAGTCAATAGTACATTTGGTGTAAGCAGTTGCTTAAGAAGATCCTTGAGGTAGTAAAAAAGGATTAATGGTTTGAAGACGGCTTCAGATTGCTTAGCTTTCGCAAATCTCTCCGCTTGTGGTTTGATAACGGAAGAGGCAGATGTGCTACTATACAAGTTTACGGGAAAGGTTTGTGGTCCCTCGATAGACAATCAGCAATTGGCACTAGACTCGTAACAGAAGGTGCTATTGCCGTTTGAATCATGTCCAATACGTGTCTATAGCCTTCGCCTGATGCACCACCAAAACTCATCGCGTTAGTGGCATCAGTCTGCTACTGTGAGACACACTCGTGGGTGTCACTGGGTGCATTTTTCAAGAAAATAATTCACACTTTAAAGGATTAAGTTAACATGCTTCCTCGCTTTTTTCTTCACCGTATTTTTCGTTTCTCCGAGAATTAACCAGACAAAGCGCTATTTGTTGACTGAATCGGCATTCATTCTGGTCACTCACTTTCTCTCTCACTCTCTCTCTCTCACACACACACACATACATGCACAGGATTTTTCTCGCTTCTTGATCAACAAAATAGCGTCGAGGTGGTTTTCTCGTATTTGTTTCAATCTGCAAAACAAGTC